ACTTCCAGTGTTAATATGAAGCTTCATCATGGTTAACTTAGTTTTCATTACTGTGAGAAGAAACAAGGAAGATCTAATTTAACGTGCATTAAAGACACAGAAAGTTCCCATCATGCATGCTGTTTTTCCCTGTATAGTTGTGACACTCAAACAATGCATGCTGCGATCTCTGTTTGCATTTAAACACTTAAATAATTTACTTGAATGAACTATTGCACTATATTACCTCAAAGATAGAAGTACTTGTGTACTTTGGGTGAAGAGTTTGGTCATTCAACAAGGGCTCTGAGTACAGCTGTTAAAAGGGGACAGTTAAGATAGTTCTGGCATCAGATCAGGTTTCTACTGGACATCTAATAGGCGTGCTGCTTTAAACATGTCCATTATGGATGGATGGATGGATGGATGAGATGTGATATTTTTCTTTTAAGATCTTTAAGATAGCTTCCTTCACTCCTCTCTCAAACCATCTGTCTCCTCTGTCCAAAATGTGAACATTGGCATCCTGGAAAGGGTGACCTTTGTCCTTTAGAGGAGTGAAAGAAGCGTCTATGTCCACTGTAAGCGACCACCTTTGAACAGAGGCAGTGGCTTACGACACCAACTGTGTGCCATCTATAATCCGGTTTTGAGCAGACGCCATATGGCCCACTCACATCCTGGGCCATATGACCTCAGTGGAGCTAGGCTTCACAATGGGTTCACCCGAAACCTTGGCTGATTGTGGCCCACACCTGTTTCCACACCTTGGGTCGTGTGATTAAGCAGAGGATCAATAGGGGGTCCACGACCCTCGTGGGGACACTCCCATAGGGCTTAAAATCTGGGACTCTCCACTAATTGCTCTTAGAACTGAAGATGAGAGGTGAAACGTCTTCAAAGAACTTAAAGAAGTCCAGACGCTTTTCTTTCGAAGCTCCTTAGACTACGATGACCTGGATGACTGAGAACCTTCACAGACACATGTAACATAATCCAAATTGCTTTACAGTAGCTTATCATTTATAA